AAGGTGCAAAGTGGACAAGGTCCAAGGTGTGAGCACCCAGACGAGGCCACTAGAGAGAATAGGAGATCTCGAGTGCTAGCTAGAGAGCTTAAGTTCTAGTTTCTTACTTTGAGGGGCTCACCTCCTATTTATACTTGAAGTCGCCTGGAGGTAGGTGAGCTTAGATGGTCCAGATGCAGTCCGTACGCGGAGAGGGCGGCCTGATAAATTGGTTAATTAAGTAGGTGTTTGGCATCAATTCCATTTCCTCATAAAAGAACATCATCAGCACTACAATAGAAATCTATTTTTTGGGAAAACATTTAATGTTTCATTAACCATTTTTTTTCTGAAAAACGTTTTCTCAGTGTTTGTTTGGCATCGTTGCCATTGCTCCAGAAAATGGGGTCACATCAGCACCACATCAGAAAAATGGTGTTCCAGAAAATGGGCATTTGTTTGGAACCATTTTTCCATAAAAGATAGTGCTCCAAGCCACGCCTTGAAAATTGGGAAGGCATGGCTTGGAGCAATGCCGATTTTGGCGTTTCTTGGAACTGCAGCCTGTTGCTACCAACAAGGATGTGAGGTGGCAGTGATGTGGTGTTGGATAATGGGTACCAGTGCTGAAAACGTTTCTTGGAGCATTGGTACCAAATAGAAAAAGTTGTTGTTGCTCTAGGAAATGTCCTACCTGGAAGCAACGATTCCAAACAAAAAAAAGAAAAAAAAAATACATCATTTTCTCAGAAAACGATGCTTTCAACTCAGACATCAGCAGCTGCATCTACAACATCGATGCCAAATATATACTCAGACTATGCCTTAAAAATTGGGAAAGCTGTGTCTGAAAAAAAAAAAAAAACGTATTTTTTGGTGTTTTCATGTTATGCCGACATGATAATGAAAAACACCTATATATCAGTAATAATGATGATGATGATGATAAAAACATCTCAGAAAATAGCATTGGCTCCAAACACCGCTTAATACAACCCTACTGTAGCGATCATTACAACCGGGTGGAAATAGAACCGGCCGGGATGACTCACTGGGTTCGAGTTTCGACCAATCAAAAAATGCCACTAAAAGAAGAATCGCAAACTTTTGAGAGTCATCCGGATAAAAGATAGACAGGATGAGACAGGAAGTACTTCTATATATAAAAAATGTTTAATTTAATTAATACCCATGTCATGTCCAATTCTTGATTAAAGAATAATCTGGATTCCACTAATCTAATTATATCTCATGATTGAAAGCATAACCGTTCATGCAAGTAGGACTGTAGGAGATATCCATACAGTCCGGTCTATGCTTGTTGCTTGATGATGAAAAGCCCCCCACCATTTATATTAAGGAAAAAGAATGATTAATCATAAGAAATATTATTGTGTATATGATGTTTGGAATCCAGATGGGTATGTGTGCATGCATTTGCATGAATGACATCTCATTTATTTAATTAATTTTAATTTATTAATATTCTCCCGACATGAGGCATCAGAGTCCATTCATTTCAGGCCTTATCCCATCCCTCCTCTTGTCCTCAAGCATCAACCCCATTTCCTATTGCTCCCTTTGTCTTCTCTTCACTTTCTTCTTGATATTAATTCATGCTTTTTCCTATTTATGATTTTATATTATAGTTTCAAATGAAGTAAACTCATATATTTCTATATTTTAAGCATTAGTATCGAGTTTACTCCAATTAAATCTTAAGGTTGATTTTGTTTGTAGTCAGAATTCGAATCAAAATTGAAATAATCTATTCCTATAATTTATTTGGTTCAAATAGGAATAGGAATGAAAATCAGAATTAATTAAAATGAGAATAAAATTTTGATTCCACCCAACTAAACAGTTGGAATCGGAATAACCCATTCCAATTTTACTTTCAGACGTCTATTCCCACAAACCAAATAAGCCCTCAATAATTTTAGTTAATACAATGATGTGATCATCAAAGGACTACCATTAGGTTCTAAATTTCCTCTTATCATTCTGTTTTGGGTCTCCATGAATGAATTTCTGAAGCATGGAAAACACTCATCTCCTCTTTAGCACGCAAACGCACATTCAATGCATGATTGTGTCTCCTATCCACCCTCATCTTTCATTAGAAAGAAATGGCTCAACAGTCAACAATTCAACCAAACCAGCCTGCATTCATGAGTTGTGTCTTCTCCCAATGCCAAAGGTATGACTAACACCCCCCCTCCCTTCCTAAAATTTGCATATAAATATACACACGAAAATCCATCCCTAACTTGAACCTTTCAAAAGAAGCAATACCAACTACCACTAAGAATCAAAGTCTGGATCTGATGCACTTACCTTACATTTTTATACACACGGCTGCAAGTCGGATTACCAAGAACTTCAACTAATTCCCAACTCAATCCAATCCAAATATCAAAGAATCAATACCAACTACTACTAAGAATCAGTGTAAGATAAATGCAGCCAAAAAAAAAAGTGCACCAAACCTCAATTCTAAATCTCTTAACTCCATGAAACGCCAGATTTACATAACTCCATTAATGGCCACCCCATCATAAGTATACCCATGTGACTTGACTGTACGTTTTTGTATACATCAGTCATGTTATGTTTATATGAGCATGGACCCATGTGAGGCCCAGTGAAACAATGAAGCAGAATTGGCAGATGTGGGGAATTTAGATATCATAAACCTAAACTGAGAATATCAAATTTAATTAAACTATTAGAAAAAAGAAGAGTTGTTAGGATTTAAGAGTTAGGAAAGAACAATAACTCCAACTTGACCACCCTCTTTATTAGATTTTATTTTACTAGAGAAAAAATTAGGTTTTAATAGAAAAATAGTTGAGTTAAACAGACAACTCCAACTTTAGTCCATCCCCTGAAAAGCATTGATGGATATGTTCTCTGACATTTCAGTGATAACAAATAAAATAATGGGCCTAGATTGGATCCATTTCATTATATAATACAAAAAAATACGGGTAACATGGGCCGCCCAAAATGTGTATCGTCCGGAATGGATTTCCTTTGTAGTGGTAGAAAGCACGTGAAAGATTTCCTTAAAATGTTAAAACAAGGGTGAGCCAGGAATTTTTGTTTTCTAGTTATCATGTTGGGCCACAAGGCGGGCACAATCTCATTAGAATCCTGGACGTTCTACATTGATTTTTTTTTATTTAATTTTTTATGGTTATTATGCTTTTGCACAGATTATTTAAATTATTATTTATTAATGAATTTGGATGTCCTTATTTTCGTTTTTTCTTCTTTTTAAAATTTCGTTGTGTGACATCTCAGAAAATCAAGTGTAGCAAGAGCACTGCAGCTCAGAAGGCCAAAACTTTGGTATTTTAATTAATCCAGTTGTGTGTGTGTGTTTTTATTTTGAGGAAAGAGTGGGCTATACAACATGGGGTAGCCCTCCCCAGCAATCACTTAGATGATGTTTGGCATCGGTGCTGGTTATTTTTTATTGATTTTTTTTAATCGATGATTTTTGAAATTAGTGTTTTTTTCGAAAATCGGAAAATTTTATTATTTGCTATCATTTCCCTCATGTAAGCCCAGTTTTGAGAAATCGTCTTTGAGTTTGTTTGGTACTGATTCTCAAGCCAATTATTTTTGTATTATACAATGCCATGTAATACTCAAAAAATCAGAATCAGCTAGAAATCAAGAAATTACCAAAAAAAGATAATCCCTGAAAAAAAGGCTGATTCCAATAATCAATTTTGACCGATTTCCTGAAAATCATTAAAATTGGCCAACTAAACGGAAATTTCAATGCCAATTCCTCTAATGCTGATGTGACTTCAACCTGACAGTAATTTTCAAGAAATCACCACCGATGCCAAATATCACCTTTAACTTAAAAAAAAAAAAAACGACCGAGTTAAACTCACAAACCCACTAGATCCCACAACATAACCCATATTTACAAGTCAATCCGCTGCAAAATTAGCTTTTCTGAGACGAGAATATTGAATATTTAACTTCTCTTTGATGATATTCCAGTGGAGAGAGGATAGCATGACCAAATTATAAGTTTCAAAAGCTGCCCAAGCCTCAGCCACATTAATCAAGTTGGTTCGCTACAACTCTAGAGTGGCTGAATTTGGTTGCATATTCAAATATATATATATATATATATATATATATATATATTAAAGTTTAACCCAAATGAGCAAACCCTATTAAGCTATGGCTTTAGTCAACAACATAGGGGTACTTTGGTCTTTCAGTAGGGGTGACTTTTTATTTTCATCAAACGATGTACATCATAATATATTTAATTTTTTCTGATAATAAGGACAAGAGAATTGTTAAAGGTAGAATATTACCTAGATCCAGGTCACGACAGATAAAACTAAAACAAACTGCAACTTATCTAATAACAAAGAGTAAATAAATCCAACCTATTAATTAATACAATAATGCATTTGTTTATACCAAACAGAGAATATTGGGGAAGCATTTGTAGGTGATTGGGCAGATTTAGCCAACCCAAAAGAAGGAATCCTTAATTTATTCAATTAAAAAAAAAATCCTAAAAAGCCGATATTTTAGGAGTGGAGAGGAAACATCTACAGCACTGGTTCTATTTCCTTTTAGCCTTTATTTTTTGTTGATTTGCTTGTAGTGGAACGATGGGACAACCCCCTTTTGATTTATTTCATTTTTTTTAAGCCCTTTGATTTATTTCATTCAACTTTTGTAAATGACCCCTTTCCTTTGTGCATCACATATAATATAGCATAGAATGGCCCATCAAGAATCTGACGCCTTTCCTGCGTGGCCCGTCTTCCCCGCCGCATGCAACCATAGTTCCTACTCGGAACGTTTCAGCCAAAACGGAGCCGACTATGGAAAAGAAAACCGTTCAGAGACCAGAGTTCCTGGTCGCTTGGCCCCATAATGGCTGCCCAGTGAAAAGAGTGGGAACACCAACAAGCAACAACAACACACACGACACTTTTTGGCCCAAAAAGACTTCACTTTTTTGTGATGGACTCTGACATTAATCACGCTCTCTTTAGCTTAAAATTTCCATCGTCAATGGATGGAAAACAAGGTCTCAAGAGTAAAGAGAAACCATTTACATACGTAGAGATGAATGATACCTTCAGTTCAGCTTCAGCCTACAAGGAAGTCTTTTGTTTTCCCCAGTCCATGAAAGACATCAAACCTCAAAGTTACATAGAAAATATATGATTAGGAAACAGAGTACCCAACTTCAGAACCCGTTCCCAAGGCCTTGTTCTAGGTACTCCGATTAAAAAACACTTGAAAAGAGATGCCTTTGGCTTCATTCAACTTCAATCCCCTGGCGGTGCCGCTAGTTCCGACTCTTGCACTTCTCCATGGCCCTCGGAGCTGCAACCCAACAGATTGAAGACTTCATCACAGCGTTTATGTGGAATTTTGTAAACATGAAGCATATAACATGTTGATAACAGGACGAAATTTTTTCATCAATGAAACAATCAGGTAGCTAGAAGCAGAAAAATAGGAAAGATAACAATAGACTACACTTGGCCTTCAAAGTCTAGGCCACCAACCAGTAAGCAAGTCAACTCCAGACTTGGGCGCTTAAGTTGTCTGAATCAATATTGACTTCTGGGTTAGCATCTATCTACTCCTACTGACTAGGTTCATATTATGCTGAAGTTCCTCCTCCTAATGGCTTTTAGCTTATCGACATGATAAAACCATTCAGGCAATTCAGTTGGCAAAAGCATCATGATGATCTTCCTCAAGGTCATAGACATTAATTTAGTGGGAAGTGGTGGCCGTCATAAAGGGTAAATTCGGAAAATGCAAATGAGTAACAAATGTGTACAGACACTATCACAGATTCAAATCAGTTCTCCAGAAGGAGCTTTTGCCCATGTTAAAGCTCCAGGGCAATCAAGGCAGACCACCATCACCCCTCCCTACCCCCCCCCCTTTTTTTTATCTGCTTTTTTCCTCTTTCCTTTTTTCTGCCTGCTTTGAGGGAGGGGTTTGGCGTGACTGATGGTCAAGGACCTGTTCCTGTTTTGACGTTGAAGGTCAAAGGGCAGATCATGGTACCTTCTTGGTAACAAGAATACCATAGAAAGGTTTTGGATATATCAGTAAATACCTAGTCCAATTGCCTCTGAACCCTTCATGATCCTCAGCCTTCTGCAAGAGTCGGTGAACATCCTGCAGCAACAACAAAAGAAAATTCATATGGAGATACACAGCCTTGAAAAAAAAATGCAGAGGGCAAGAAAATATCACAAGGAAAACTACTGTTTTCTCACCAAACAGTCAAAGAAAAAGCAGAGGATACCGTTTCAACAGCTAAAGATAACATATAAAGATTTCATCATTTTATTGAATTAACGCCACAAGAGCAGTTAATAATATGTAGACTGAGGTCGCTAAGTACGTAATGTCAAATGATACAAGAATTATGAGATAACCATGCCAACTGCCAAGTTGCAGTTGAGATGGTTCTAGACAATAATAGACAGAACAAACATTTCGTTTTCTTCTCTTATTTTTTCCCATTTTGCTTTTTTTCCAGGTTAAAGGATTCTCAGTAATTGGTGATACTTCTGTATTTTATCTTTCTTTACATAATTTTATGCATTTCTGCTGCATACTTGCATCAGATAAGTATATAGTATCAGCCCCGTTTTGAGAAATCCCACCAAACCAGAGAATGGATATTGAGATTGAATGGTTTGGGTGTGGGATGATTTTACTCATCTTACTATAAAACTCTTGTGGGATTTTGGCAAGAAAATCCAAGTACATCAAATAGAGTTTGTACTTACTGCCATGGAACATCACCAACGAGCATCCAATCACCATCTTTGTCCTCGTAAGTTAGAACATACTCAGAACCATGGAGTAGATCCATCAATCGACTTGCACTTAGCCCATCTCGACCTGGTACTCCATGAGAACCACACTGCCCTGGAATATCCATGCAAAAGCGTAATCAACACCTTTTTCATATTATGAGAGTGAGTGTGAAGAATTATTTGGAACTGTCATAAATCTCTGAAATACTTTGGTAATCAAAGAGAAAAAGGAAAGAGGAAGGAATAATTGAAAAATTCAATGGTCACAATCCTGCTTTTAATTTAAATTTAGCACAGGGAAGGTAGAATTGGTAAACCTAGGAAGACATCATGACTTGACAGAGGCATTCGTTTGTGCAGTCTTCTACTTCACAAAGATTGTTATTATAATTAGAGAATATAAGAGAAAGAAATGAAGCAGTCCATGTCTTCCGCATTCTTCAGTAATCAAAATGTAAATTATTTTTCTGAGTTACAGGCTATCCTAACTTCTATGGGAAAATTGTATTAACAGGTTTTCATCTTAGAGTCAAGCATTTACATAATCTTGGCATCAAAATAAATCATGTTAAGGCCTTACAAAAACCACGTAAGGGACAGGGGAGATTACCAATAGTAAAGCAGCTGAACATCTTCTCAAGCGCTGCTGAAAGCTCTGTATAGCTGCCATAGGTTTTGAGATCAACCTTCCTCAGATATGGAGCACCATCCATGCTAACCTTAACGTATAGACATCCAGCAGATCCTGACTTTCCTTCAGCATCATCATTGTTCTTTGCTGGGTTGGTAGCCATGGTGTTTTTCCGAAAAGATCGAATTGGTGGCCATCCTACAACTTGAGCCCTGCTCAAGGAATTAAGAAAAGAAAACAAATTTACTTAAGTCGTTCGTGTCTGAAAGTTCACACCAATCAACTCCCTCTTTCCCTCTGAAATCAGCTCAATAAAATGCAAGCACAAATACAGAAAAGTAGAGAGAAAGGTTGCATCTAGTTGAAATAAACCAGGCGAATGCATAGACGTAAAGAACCAAAGCATAGAAAATTTGATAATATTTCATACAAAATTCAATCCCGTATCCAATGAGGAGCTTCAACATCCCATTCAGAAGAAGGAAACCATTGTCCGTCCAAACAATGTGTGGCGAATTACATTAAAACATATAAGAAAGAACAAAAAAGAGATTGATCTGCGAAGTGAATAAAGAGGGGGAGGGAGAGGGAGAGTACATCATAGAGAAAAATTAAGAAACCCATGAACAACTCTGCCAAATTTTCTCTTGCCATATAAAGCTGCAATCTAACCGACCCGATATGGTTGGTCAGACAAGGCTTACTTGAGTTGTATGCAAAGCAGCAATCTCAAAAATTTACTTAGCTGAAAGCAAGAGAAAATGAACAAATACGTCGATTTCTCCCCTTTCACAGGTTAGGTATGCATGGAAAAAATGTGGAAATGGAACTAAAAGGAAATAAACTTACTTCGCAGCAGGAGCAACATGGTCATTTGCGGCAGAAATCTGGGGCTTCTTGTCCTGGACCGGCTTGGGCGACGGTGGAACAAAGTCTTTGAGCGCAGGAACAGCCGAAGCCGGCTGCTGGTTACTGTTTTCCAAAACAGCAAGAGACTTGCCACCATTTCCACCTCTCGGAGAGAACAATACAGCTCCTTTCCCCAAATCAACCTCAGATCCACTAGGCGCCCCAGAGAAAACCCATTTCCCAGAATCATCAATAGCGTCAGAGAATCCCCTCTTAGCCCCAGAAACAAAATTTTTCAGTACACTAAGTGAGTAGCCGTTCTTATCCTCCACTGTCCTCCCCAAGAGGGAAATTCCAACCCTAGCATCAGCCTTCCTCTCGGGAGACTCAGAACCAGGCAACCCAAGTCTGAGCTCAGTCTCTTTGAGGTTTAGTGCATTTTTCTTCTCCTCCTCTTCGGTAGAAACAGTGGAGGAGGAAGAAGAAATCTTCTCAGAGTCTTCCATGGAAGAAACCTCTGATAAGCCTATGTAATCATGTTCTAAGGGCCTAGACATTAAACTTCAACAGCAAAGGCACCTAAGTACCTGACAGAAGAAACCAGAAAGCATAAAAAGAATATGCACAAGAAGAAGAAAGAGATTATTTGAACCAGAGTCGAGAGAGCAGAGCAGGATAAAGAAGCTTTCGGGACCTCTAAACGAGCCGGTTTTAGTTGATGTATAGAAGAGAAGTCTCGTTGGCCCTTCTGTAGGCTTTTTATTATTTTATATTTTCTCTCTACAGCAACAGGGAGGAGAAAACCGAAACAGTTTCGGTTTGGGGAATTTTTTTATCGTAATTTTCTTTTGGTTTTTTTCCCGATTTTCACCCTTTTCGGCAACCTCACCGACAGGTTACTGAAACCGAACGTTTCCGGCAGTCTTCCGAAATAATGCTCATTTTAATTTATTTTGTTCGGACGAAAAAGTAAAAAAGTGATGCTAAGATACGCGGATGAAAGCAGCGCATTATAGCGAGAGTAAAGAGGAGAGAGAGAGAGGAGCAGCTTTGGAGGGAACCGAAACGAATCGCACGGAATCGGAGATAGAGAAATAAGAGAGAGAAAAGGCGGGAAGGAAAAAATGTAGAAAGGGATTGAACGAATGCTGTCTCCTGATTCTTTTTTCTTTTCGGATTTTCAACTCGACAAATTTGCAGATCCACGATTATAGTTCTTGGAGATTTGGCCTGCTCTGATCTCTTGTTGAGATTCGCCAGGTAATTATTTTTAGTTTTTTAAGAATATTTCGTCGCACTTGAAGCGTGCAAAAAAAGAGAAAAAAACAAAATTAGGATTAAAGTAATGCGGGTGGGAAGAGGTAGAGGCTTGAACCGAACGGAGAATGAATTCGAAACCCTAGAGAAGTTGAAGGAAATTGCTGGAAAGCTGACACCACTCGAACGTAGAAGACTCAGAAAAGAAAAACAAGGACGGAGAAAAGAAAAAAAAAACGGCAGTTGAGATGCAGAACGTTGTCTGTTTCAGGTTCAACGATCTGACTTGGAAAACCTGAGTTGTAATCTTCACCATCCCAGACCAGACCAGCGACTGAGCGAGCTCTCCCCCCCAAAAAAAATCCTGTTTAAAGTTGATATTCACCAGAAAAAAAAAGGCATGAATAAAATAGTCGATCTCGAGAGTAAAACCTAGAAAATCAAGTTGTAACGAATCTGAAAAAAAAAATATGCATTGGATTGATGATTAAAGATCAAACCAGGAAAAAAAAGGAAATTTTCAAGACAATTTGATTAATTTTAGGGTAGAATTGAAGAGTTCAACATGTGATCTCGAAACCCTGAAGAATATTCACTGCATTATCATCTGAAAATTGTACTTTCTCTTTAATTTCTACTTTTTAATCGTTTTTACATGCGGTAAAACTGTGATAAAAAAGTGGAATTGTTTTTTCCTTTAACTTGAAATAAGTCAGCGATCGGAGGATCGATCGGAGTAACAGCGGTCCAGAAGCTTTGTTGGGTTGAGATTCAGCAACGACAGGTACTGTGGTGGTCAGGGCCCAGGGTCCCGGTCGACGGCTCAACGCTTCTGCCACCGGCTACTACTTTTGGCATCTCCCGGCGTTCCGATTACGAATCACCACTCGTGCATCGCCGGGCGTGAAATGAAAACAGGAAACCGGATGAGGCATGAAATTGAGCGGGTCCATCCATTACCCCTATATGGACCGGGCATGGATAACCCGTTTGTATACTCACAAGTCACACCCTATGAGATAACCCGTTTCTTATCCTCTTTTTATCACTGGATGAACGTCTGAACCGAAATGGCTAAATGGCATGTCAGCGTGGTTATTTTATCTACCAAAAGAAATTTAATGCCTTAACCCCCCCGCCCCACCCCCAACAAAAAAGGCCAACTAATAAGCAATTCAGTTCAGCCAATTCAAACCCGGACCCTTAATTGTAAGGACTATCCTATTCAGATATTCCTTCTTAATAATTCAAATTTTTTGGTGTTTTCCACCTACAATATGGTCCACTGTTGGCTACTGCTCAAGGCAGGAACCATCTGTGTCAGTCTTGGACCCAAACTGGACAAGACTCATCCAGAAGTCATGAGCCGTCGGCCCAAATCCAACTTGATGGAACAGATCCACCACTTTACAGGCAGGATTTGAGATTCTGAGGCATGGAATTAGAATTCCTTACCTTTTGGATTTTGACTTAATTTCTACATTATTTTGCAGTTGAATTTCGTTTATTGTAAATTAACAGTACATGGACACTTGCGTAGACATGTATTAGTTACGGTTCTCCTTCTCGTATCCAGAACCAGAAGGCACCGGTTCTCTATTGTGTAAACAGGGCCTATATATGGGCCAGGATCACTCCGAGGCCTGAGCCACACATCTTATTGACGAGCCCAAAACCCCATGAATCAACTAAAGAAAGGAAAGCACTTCAATGGATGTGGAATGTCCAGATTGTTGCCCACTTCCATTTCTTCAGAAGGTCGAACAAAATAGCCAATAACTGTCAAATTGATCACCTAAATTTGGTGGGTCGACAAAGATAAGTGGGTCCCATAAACCTATAAGTTACAACACTAGCACAGATATATTTCATTGTTTGCATTGCAGCACAGCTTTTGCATAAACTCTAACCCAAAACCAGGATTAACTCTAATTGGACCACAACCCACGTGAGTCCAATCTGGTTTCCAAGGGCTAACCCACAAAAGTACTTGTTTTACCCAGAGAATAACAACAACAACCGATCAGATTTGACCATTGTGGCCCATGATGGATGGCCCACACTTCAAAGTTGAAGCCTCTGAAGAGTGATATACACAGTACATAGGATTCCCTACACATACACTTGTATATGGTAATTTTGGTGGGTCAGATCAGGTTGATCATTCCGTTCATGGGCCAGGGAATACAAATCAGGTCGCCTGGAAAATACCAGCTTTCCAGTTACCTCGGCCAGACATATTGTTTTTTCCTCTTTGGGTGGTGGGGTAGGGAGAGGTTGGCTGGTTTTGAGGCCCGGTTTAGTGGGCCATATACATATATTAAAGGGAATCGGGTTCAGGTGCTTACTCAAATAGTCAAATTGGTTCCAGTAGTATCAAATATTCAAATACTCCAGTTAGTTGCGTCCTTGAATGGGCTTGATCGATAAGACATGATGGATCAAGTTCATCATTTCTATCCCTATCTGAAATCTGAAGGGGCCGAGTTACTTAGTTGGTAGGCCCAAAGCAGAAAATTAAAAAAAAAAAAAAGTGTACAATTACTTTGTAAGTCCAAACTCTATAATTTTTGAGACGGTCAGCGGGGCTTCCGATTCCAGGAGCTTCTCATTTACTCAATGAAGAAAATTCACCTATGCCAACCTATGTACGATAACATTGTCACACTTCTTCATAATTGGATCGGGCTGGGTTGGGTTGGATCGAATGGAAGCTGGTAGGGCCAAGCCCAGGCAACTAACAAAGCCCTTTAGCTTTTGGTTTTGGGTTTGGGAAGGACCCCATTGGCATTGGCTTATGGCTTAAGCTATTCCTGGCTTAATACGCATACTCTGGACTCTGGAAGTAGAGACGTTTTCACGTAATTTTCCGGGAATAACAGAGGTCGTTTCTGACTTGCTTTAATTGGGTGATTTGTTGCTTTTGATTTTGGAAAGCTTTAATTTAATTTAAATACGCGTTGGCTGGAAGCAAAATGGGCTTTTACAAGTATACAAGTATCAGTTTCATTCATAAAAGCAAGAAAGGGATGGTTGATAGATATCCCCCCGATTCGTTAATGGAATCTGTCGGGGGGTTCTTAGACAGAAATACTCCTGTGTCGTTTTCAGTGGCATTTCTGTAAAATTCCTTTTCATTGAAACACATTTTATATTACGGAAATTTAAAAACAAAAAAGTCGGAGTCGAAGAGCTCGCTCGCTGCCTGAGCGGCTGAGCCTGTTATCCAATGCAATGCTCCGTCCGTAGAGGCACTGTGGGTACTGGGAAGTGGAGGCCCACCCGCTGACCCACATCCAGTAATAAGTAAATACCCATCCAGAGTCCAGACTGCAGAGACTGTCTGGTTCGTTGTAGTTTGGCCTGGCTCGTACTTCGTAGTTCGTACCACCAACTAGCACCATTCACCATAGAGCTGAGAGCTCTTCTTTGAAATGAGCGTGTTTTCATTAAAAGCCATAACAATAAACGTCACAATAAAAAAAGTAAAAAGTAAAAACCCTTTAGCTTTAGGCATTCCCGTGAGGAAAGCACTTTATCATTGATAATATAATGAAACTGTACTTGTGTACATGATAAGTAGCATCATCCACCATTCAATTGATTGACCCACGACCCATCAACGTGACGTGAAATTGACTTTATGAATTCTCTTTAAAGCCCAACGGGCCAAGAATTATCAAGAGTAGCAAAAAACTGTACTCTGTTTATCTCCTGATCAAATCTGAGCTTTATACTCAAAACCGCAAAAAAAAAAGAAACCCATTAAGGACATATTGATAAGAACTCCAGCCATGTGGGTTTTCAGATGGACCCTGGCCTGACCCATTTTAAATGTATGATAATACACTATTTTCGATGCAGCAGACCGGAATTAAATGGATCGGGTCAATCAAATTGTCTACATCATGAATATTTTGTTTTGGGGTTATTTTACGTTTTGGTTGACTAAGTTAAGCGCATCAGGCATCATCTGACTCATGATGAGAGAAAGCTGATGCCTGATTCCCGAAAGTGAAATACTGAAATGGGCGTTTTTTTTTAACGGAGGCATCTTTCACCCTCTCCTCTTAAATCCTAATCCCAATCCTACGCAGCTCTACGCTTTGGTGGTATCAATTGTGGGTCCTACATGCCGCGCACGATTGCTACAGTGAGCCCCACGCGGCTCAAGGACAAGGTAGATAATTTACGGAATTACGTTACGTCGTTTCTTCTCTTTTCCTTAACCCTTATCCAACAGTAACACCAAAGGCTGAAAGGTGACGGCAAGGTCCAACCGTCCAATTACTGAATTACACCTCCATCCAAAGTCCAAAATTCTAAACCCAAAAACAAATGGGCCTTTGCCCAGCTGTTTCACAGACCCATTAAACTTGGGAAATTGGGATTTGACTTTGAGGAAACAAAGAGGAAAAGAAATTGTTAGCAAGAGGTGATGGGATGGGGAATAATATATAATATACAGAGAGCTGGATGGAGTAACACTTGACGATTGATTCTTGGAGAGGCAGGCAGGAGTAGGACGGACTACGGAGACAGGATGAATCTTATTCTAGCACGCACCACCTGACTCCCAGAGTCCTGAAGCTGCTTCAACAGTAACAAGTGACCGGAATCGGCCTACTTTCTGGTTTCTGGTCCAATGCGCCATTATTGAATGAAATATCAATATGTAGCATTTTTGTGGTCAATAGCTTATTTACTTACACACTAGCCACGCATGCGTGTGGGACCCGGCACCAGCAGTACATGTGTATCACTTTAAAAGTTAAAGTTTAAAAGATGCCTTCTTCTGAGACAAATGGGCTTTCACATCCTCTTTGGGCCGGACACTGCTGGGCCAATCAAGATATGCCCCCGTCAGCCTGGTTGTGGGACCCATCATGGACCAGCTCACACTCATGGCATGATGGGTTTTATGTGCCTGTCTGTGTGTAGGTGATTGGCCCAATACAAGAACCATGGAGGATTTATGCTCATGAGTTCATGGCTGATGCCCATCATCACTGTACTTCCAAATTTGTTTGTTTTGAGGAGTCAAAAGAAAGAATCAAGAGAGAAGGACACGAGGTGAAAAATTAAGACTTAACCTCTTTTCAGTTTTTTGACTCCTGTAAATCAATGGACAGTGGTTGTTTCTTGAATCAAATTATGACAGGTCTCATAGTGTAGAGGATGATGATTCCCCTTCACCAATCACCATTGATTTGATAACCTCTGAACAACTAACCCCATGGTCTACCGTCTGCCCTGGGCGTTAACGATCACGTCACTAAGAGTGGAACTGGAAAGCACAACAGAATGACCTCCCTCAATTTGCATATCTCTGTTCCTGGCTAAGATGGATGATAAGCCAGCCAAAATCAAGTGTCAAGAGGGAGAGGATTTTGCTTTCTGGAGGAGACTGTAGCTGATGGGATGGAAGGTGGAAAGCCTGTGTATCAAATTATCAATATCATATGGAGATTGAAGAGTAACTATCCCTTAAGAAATGATCTTTTGCAAGTTGAAGTGATGATTAGGAAAACAATGAATAACAAACTTAAAGTGCTTACCACCTGAGGGGTAGCCCAGTTGCTGCGTTGGATGAATTGTCCTATTGGTGGTGCGGTTTCAAATCCCTCTATTCTTATATCTATAAGAAAAAGAATTATGTGATTATTTGAGGTTGTTGATGTAATGTATTTTTTACTTCAAAAAATAACAGCCCCTATGGGGGTGTCAGGCAATTATTAATACAAAAAAAAAAAAAACTTTAAAGCACTCATAATGTAATCGACCCCATATAGTTGGAACAAGGCTTAGATAAACATGTTAGGTAGGATTAGAATGTTTGAACATAAAAAAAAAAAAAAAAAAAAAAAAAAAAAAAAAAAAAACCTAAAATTCATAAAAAACTAAATAACTATAAAGAATATTTCAATGGGTTAAAAAATCAATACATATCGTACAATATGCACCAATATGTTGCAGTGTTTTGAAACCTTATTATGTATTAGTGAGCATATTCTCTAGGAAGGTAAGAAAAGTTTATTGCCATGCATTTTTTACCGAAAGGTTAGATCATGGATAGGATTCAAGGTCCAGTCACATGTTGGATGTAATACTTTGTACCTGCAACGGTGGGTGGGAGGGTGTCACAATGAACACAAGAATCCAAGCTTGACGTTCTAGCCCAGTTATGGACACCACCAGATCGACCCCATACTCGATGTGCTTCCACTAGGGGATCCAAAAGTATCACCATGAATTATTTGTAGGCCCAGACCACGTTCACCAGTAACCATTCAACAAAGGATGCAACATTGAGATTCGAGAATAACAGGTCCAATGACTTTGACTTCTTACACCTACTAATGACCACAATTATAAGGCCTTAATAACGGCCCACAAATAGGGGTGTCAATTGAATTGGATTTGGTCTGATCCGATCCAGTCCAATGTGAGTCCTTTATAAATGGATCAGGTCTAATCCAATGAATGTTTTGGACTAATATGGACCGATCTAATTCAATGTCTGGACCGCCCAATCTGTTCAAATTCATTTTGATTTAGATTGGTTTCAACCTAAATCCGATCCATTGACACGTATTCGTATCTTATATCAATGGACCAGATATTGGCTTAATACAACCCAATCCAATATAAATTTGTTATGAACGGACCAAGTCCAATCCAATCTAATAAATATTTTGGACTGGATCGGTCCAATCTAATATGCCTTATTGGTCTGTCCAATCTGCCCAAATTGATTTTGGACTGAACGGGTCCAATCCAAAACCGGTCCATTGACCCCCTTACCCACAAACACATGTCTGCACGCATCAATGAAAGTTTTATCCAACAATTCAACTGAACTACAAGACTACAGCTTGTCTCGTGCGGTCTAAAAATACAAGAAAATGTGCAAATTGAGAGGGACCGATAAAAGGGGTGAAAATTGAGACGTAGTGAAGGAGTAAATATACAAGAGAATCTAAACAAACATATGTTCAGTTAAGAAATATAAGTGTGTTTGGCAAGTTTTTTAGCAAGATGTTCCAGACAACCCAAATAGCCAAAAGGCATACTTGAGTTTTTGGGGTCTTGTTTTATAAAGATCAAAATCCTAGTCTGCTGCGGTCTATCAGACTGTTAAATGAAAGATTTTAGACACGGAAAGTATGATTTTCAGCCATTAAAAGCTTTCATGAGCTTTCTGGGGCATGGGTCTGTTGAGGGCCCGAGAATAGGATCTCGTACGGGTCGGTCCACGGGGAAAACCTCCTGTTTTCCCTTGTTCCTTCCTGCTCGTGATGAACCTATCTTGATGCCTTCGGTGATTTGTCCAAGAGATCACCAACTCTCCTAACTCACTCTTGACTGAATAATTT